CTTTCATGATGCTTGGGAAATTACTTTCTTACTTTTATTCCTTCTTGCTTCATAGTTAAAGCTTAAACATGGAGAGCCTTTTCTGTACGGCATCAAGCCATGACAACCTCCAAAATATTTTAGTTGTGTTGTGCCAATGCTAGCTAGGACTGTGTACCCTTTTAGCACATCCCTGAAACCATTGGCAATGGCAGGACCACACGATTACCTAGATTGTAAAGTGCTCCACAGACTGCAGTCATGTCTCCTTCCCAACATGCACAGGGGAGGCTCTGTATCACGCTGCCCTCAGCTTCCCTCACACGTCACTTTTGTCTGTTGCTGAGGGGAATAATTTGGCTGATTTTGAGCTATCTGAGGAGGTAAAGGTGGCATTAACGTGGACGGGAAAAAGAAATTCCCTGGGAACACACAAACCATGCATGGGGTGGAGGATGGGTTAGGGTCAGTCCTGCTGAAGGGGTCCACTTCAGCATTCAGTAACTGCTCCTTCATCATCCCACTGTCATCAGCATTAAATTCTCTGGCATTTCTGAATCTATTGTTGTGCCTCTCCGGGGCCAGGATCCATGTGTAGTTCAAGAAGACTGTTACAGCCTCAGATTAACACTAAATAAGCACTGTTTGTACGGCAAGACGCCATTTACTTTCTCCCATCCTTCCTCACGCAGCCTCATAGCTCCCCTTTCTCTAGAGCCTGTGACAGACTAGTTCTGGTGAATCACTCATACACAGGGTATGCTTGCAAAAGGCTGGCCTAACCCTGGATTACAAGCCTCATGCGGTGAGCAATACTACATGAAAGATGCCCTGAACACATGCTAGAGCTAAGTGATGGAAGGCATAAAGGCTTTGGAGTCACTCACCAGAGTCTGACCTCTGGCTCTACCACTAACTAGCTGTACAACCCAGCTAAACTGCATAATTTTTCAGCCGGTTTCTTCATCTGAAATATGTGGTAATAGTAATGCTTATTTTATGAAGTTGAGATGAGGAGCAAAGGTGCTAATGCATTTAACAGGCTTGGTACAGGGTGACTGGCACCCAATGTCATAAAAATTTGTAATAATTTTCATTTTATTACTCTCATACAAAGATCAGAATGTTGATGAAGATTCAGCAATGGAGACAGAAGTAGACACCAAAAAGGCCAGGGAGGAGGGAACTAAGAGAAGGGTGTCATGGAAACCGAGGGAAAAGATTCCAGAAAGGAGGGAGATAATGCAAAAGGGCACTCAGAGACCAGTTTTTCTTTGTGACAAAAGAGTGAATTTCATCAATAAATGAACAATGAGACTAAAGGCAGAAGGAGGAAAATATGCCCATAGTTTGAAATGAAGGGTATCAGTTGCAAAATTCTCTAAAAGTCTCCTTTTGGCTAATCCCACTAGTGTGATCTGAACACATAAACATCCAATTAGAAAAACATATTTATTTCTTGAGTAAAGGAAAAGCAAATGTTACACAAAATGATGTAAAAAGAACTGTTACACCAGGTTAGGGAAATATAATTTCCAACTATTTCAAATACACACAACAGGGCAAGGGAAGAAAAGGGGGATGATTTAAAAACAGGGTTTCCAAGCAGTGGTCTACACTGAATGACCCCACTAACTCCAGTGGAAAAGAGAGTGAGGGTGTGGACAGATGTATTTATTTTTCTACTCTGCCTCATACCAGAAAGGAATGATGGCAGCATATTCTGTGTCTTTGGGCAAATCATTCAGCATGTGTTTACAGAGTAAAACAGCTCCAAGTAAAACCAGTTTTTCCAATTGGACTAGATGTTAGGGTTAGACACTCCCTGCATACAGATTTAGGGAGGAGTAGGGATGAATTAAGGGTCAAAATCAATGCAATGGGTGATGTTAGAGGCTGCTGTCACTTTGGGGGACTGACTTGAGCTGCCTCCTTCCTGCGGGTGCCAAGAGGCATCCCCTTTAGCTCTGAAGAGATTGAGGGAGCTGCCAGGAGACACAGAGGTGCTCTTATGACTCTTTTTACTGACCCAATTCTTGGGTATAGGGCCAGAGGCAGAGGGGGCATACTTTTGGTGAAGAGTTATGAGAGTTAAGGAGGCTGAGGCTTAGAGCTGGAGGAGCAAAGAGATGAGGGCAGAGTACTGCAGGCTGAGCCTCCACATTTGCCACTAAGACAGTGCAGCTCCAGGGGGTTATAGAGAGTGATTGTGGAGTCATGAATGGAACAGGAGTATGAAATCAAGGAGGAGCTGCAGGGGTACTTTGGGAAAGAGAAGCACTTCAAACCGGGTTCTGGGCTCACTGGGCTACTTGCTCCCTGCAGGGCTTCATGTAGCACTTGGTTACCACCTTTCCCTCAAGGCCACAGCCAGCCTGTGCTCCCTTTATCCCTACTAAGTGGGTCATCAACTATTAGTATAACTAGAACTCTAACAGTCTTCTCTGGGGCCCTCAGTCTGTGCCATTCTTGGTATAACACAGCCCAGGGTTGTCTGTAAAACCCCAGCATTTGTGATTCCTACCAGGCCTCCTCTCCCAGACAATCTTCATGTAACTCCCCCTGGTCATAGTGCCCTCACCCCTGACCCCTGACCATAGAGCACTCTAATGCTATGCTTCTCTCTAACATACAGCTCCCACTGCTGCATACTCTGTCCTGGTACCTCTGTGGAGCCCTTATCTTCTGCATGACAAACTCAGATGTATGCATTCATCTCACTCTCCACCCTTCTGCCTTGTCCTATTTGCAAAATTGGGACCTTATGCACCTATAGGAAACATGAGGGCCCCAAGGATGTGAAGTCACATGAGTCTTTTATCACACTTCAATTTGAGACCAGAGGATGGAACAAGGTGGGTTCCTAAGGGGCAGATTCCTGGGCAGATCCCTCTTTTCCTTCCCTCCTCCAGGAGGGCTTTCCACTCTGCAAAAATGGTGTGTTTGTGGTGGGATCAAAAACTAAGTTGAATGTTTAAATTTTTTAAAATTATCATAGGAAAATATACATTGCCATTAATCTCCCTCAAAACACATTGCCTTGATTTGAATACACTTATCCCATCATTTTTGCCACTTTTTGAAATAGTTCTGACAGTTCTCTTTTGTGAGTGTCTTTACAAGCCATGATTTAAAAATACGGTGAATACTGCTGCCAATTGTCATCCAACAGAAAGGCAGGCTTGTGAAGATATTCTAGTGCATTCTAAATCACCTTATTCACTGGATCTGGCACTGTGCAACTTCTGTCTCTTCCTCAAAGTCAAAATGATCATGAAAGATAAACATTTCTAATTAATTCAGGATATCAAGGCAGCCAAGACAGTACAATTAAAGACACAAAAGAAGACTTCCAGAACTGCTTCAGAAAGGGGCAAGAATGATGGAATAAGTGTGTTCAAAGTGAGGGAACATATTTTGAGGATTAATGGCAATGTGTTTTTTACTGTAATAACTTTTTAAAAAATATTCACCATATAATACATACTTTGATCAAGCTTCATAGGGCTTCCTGGCTTTCTGATTCCCATGTTCTTTCCTGTGTCCTGGAAACTAGATTAATGTTCCTCCCTCTGTATGATGTGATTGGAGTAAAGGTGAGATTGGGTTGGGATGGGGTTAGTTTGGAATCCTCAGGCTACCCATTGTGAGGACCAAGTTTGCAGGTCACAGTGGGCTCCATGCCCCTTATCCAGAATAGAGTAAATGCAAAAGTTCCTTTCTGAAGAATTCCATTCTATGTGGCAGTTTCTCTGTGCTTCTGTTCCTCTTTTAGGGCAAGCTGCCCTAGGGCATCTGCACCCTGCTTCTGTTCCTCTTTTTAAGATGTTAAGCTTCTTTTTGTGTGATTTAATTAATATAGGAATTAGTTATAGCTGACATAGGAATTAATTATAGTTGACACAGATAGTTATATATCTTAGTTAGCAAAGATCAGATGATCTAATGATTCTGCGAATGTAGGTATTAGGTAATTTTCCAATATGTACCTTCCCAGCACCCCGTGATGATTTTGCAAATGTAAGCATTAGGTAATGTTCCAACATGTGCCCTCCCGGTGCCCCTTGAATATCCAATGATACGTAAAAGCCCTCCCAGTACCCCTTAATTATCCAATAATAAGTGAGAGCTAAACATAGAAACTATATAAGCAAAAAGTTTCCTTAATCCTATATAAACCCGCTTCAAAAATGGATCTGGGCTCTCAGGCTGAAGCCACTGTGACGGTGACACCTGAGAGTCCAGGCTCGAGCTTGCAATAAACTGCTCTTGCAATTGCATCGGACCTGACTCCTTGGTGGTCTTTGGGGACTTCACGACTTGGGCATAACACCATGTCCTGTAGATGTCATATCAGAACTTATAGGATGAGGCTTGGGCACTGTCAGGACCTAGGCCTACTAGTGCTGAGTGCCAGAGTAGCAGCTTTCTCCTCTTTCCAACAGGCAGAGGGTGGTGTCAGCTCACAAAAGACAATCCTTGTTGTGGCCAGGATGTTGTCCAGAAGGAACAGTACCAATCTAAGGAATCCACCCAGAAGAGGGACAACTGCCCCTCCCCAGACTGTACAGGAATGGGGACCCTGGAATCCCTATATTGGGCTATTAGCCCAGCACCAGACTTCTCCTTCAGACTCCTCTGGATACTTAGAGAAGAAAGCAAGGGTTAGCATCAATTAGTACAGGCCATAATTTGGCTCAGTAAGGTAGGGGCAAGTCACTTAAGGGAAAAAGACCCTTTACCTCTGGGGAATATTTCAGTCTATTTCTTTATCCTTTACCTCATCTGCAAAACAAGCTTGATTTTTTAAAAAAAACCCCATCTCAAAGTATCTCCCTTTTATAGTTTTTCATTATATTTTTCTTATTTCTTACTTCTTTCTAAAATAATACCATGAGATATTAAAGTAGATGCTGATATATAGATATATATTTATTGACATAGAATCCCACAACATATTTTGTTTAGTGAAAAAATACAGCACATACAACATCACTTGATCATTTTTATCTATAGGGTACACAGATAAAGGGAAAAATCTAGAATATTCACCAAAGGGCTGACAATAGTTACATGAGCATGGAGAGTTTTGGGTAATTTGTACTTTACTTTTTGTACTTTTCTTTCATATTTGAAGATTTAACAGTGAATTATATAACACCTTCACAAAAACAATAAAGTCATCAAGGAAATGGGCACACACACAGAAAATAGACTGCTAGGCAGTGGGGAGAGAGACAAAGGACATGGGTGAGTCCTTTTCCTTCCACCATACCAGTATGCCAGATTCGTTCTTCTCCAGACCCTTTCTCCTCTACCCCAAAAGAAAGCTGTTTTGCAGATTAATTCATGCAATTAGAAATCCCCCTGTCCCAGTTTACCATCACTGAACTCTGAATATAGGGAAGGGGTTCATTGAAGGCTGAGGGTTAGTACCTTACTGTGGCTCAGAGGGGTCACTTGATTCATGAGGGGCTGCTCTGGACCCCTCCTCCTCTGTATGTGTCAGCTCCTGCAGGGTGATGATCAGATTCTCAAACACCTGGGCCTTGTTATTCTCACTGTCACAGATTTCTTTTGAATGGCCCTCCTCCCCACAACAGGAACAGTACATTGTATGTTTTCGTTTCCTAGCTCTACACATATCCCCAGGACCATTATTCATATGCCCAGAACCAGCACTGGCTGAAAGAGACTGAACCCTGGCACTGTTGGGAGAATCAACGACCAGCACATGGTCCCCAGATCTGGCCCTTTCACTCAGTAGTGGGGCATCAGAGGATGACAGTGGAGGGTCCTCAGACTCCACCAGGATCACATCCTCATCTGAGTCATCGAGGGTATCATCTATTTCTATCACGTTGCAGTCAGCACTGCCAGTAGCCATTGGTAGGGAGCCTTGAAATGCCACAGAGCCTGTTGCTCTCTCCAACATTGACTCAGATCTTTTGGGCCGCTTCCGCTTAATGAAACTGTCATCCGAATCGTCTTCCTCCCTTACCATCCTGATTAATTCCAGGAAATTGGGAAGCTGATCCTGCTCATTTGCATATAACCTGAGAAGCTGCTGAAGCTTGAAGTGCAGGCCCCTATTCAGCTCAGCCCCTACCAGGAGCTGGTGCAGGCGAGTCTGGTTTGCATCCTTCTCAGCTAGGATGCCTGCCTGAATAGCATTCTGGAGCTGCACCTCTAAACGGATCACGTAAAGGGAGGCTTTCTCCCCTTGTGCCTGCAGGGTGTTAAAAAATTTGCTGTGGGCAGTCACACTGCTCTCAGACTCCCCAAACACCAGTTTCATTGTCCGCAAAAATTCAGCCACACTTAGGTTGGGGTTGGCAGCCTGCAGCAAACGCATGACCTCCCGGGCAGGGCCCCTAAGGGTTTTCATCAAGCGTTTGAGCTTTTCCTCCTCAGATATATTCCAATCTGGCAGGATCCCATTGACTTGGATCAGCCAATTTTCAAAGGTTTCTTCCCCGTAGGCTGGCACTGACCTCCCAGAGAACAGTTTCAAGTTTCTCTCTAGCAAGTTGGCCATCAAAGGACCAAGACTCCTCCTCAGGGACCTCAGCATGGAATGGGCCCAAGGCGGCAAGGCTGTATTTTGCCTCCGGCTATTACGCACACAGGCAAGGATGCCAGCCATGCCACCTGCTGTCGATAGGGTATCTGAGTATCTGAATACAACAAGGTGCTCAGGCTTTTCAGGAAAAACAAAGGCGTAATCAGCAGGTGTGCAGCAGCAGGCTCAATCTTCCTCCTATTTCATTAGAGATTGTAATAAAGAGGAAAGGGGGGTTATTAATAAGGAAGCAGGCTGCAGCCACATTCTCTCCCTACCTCCACAGCCTTCCTTAGATTTTCTACCTGCCCACTGCCCTAAAAATTCTCTGCAGGAGACTGGCAATTAAGGCATCCTGGAGCTAGCCAGGGTCCTTGTGCTAGCAGGGTGCTTTTTGCAGCTAGTCCTCCAGGAGGGACAGCAACTGTTGCTTCAAATTCTGGGTTTAACAGTGTGTGAAGTTGATAATTGGGCTGTCAAAATAGAGCACAATGGTCACAGATTTGTGAACAGAAAATAAGATCTCATTAACTTTATGATCTCTGGTCTCAACCACACCCCCTTCTCACCCCACCCCCGCCATCCCCTTCCCCCGTTATTTCTCCGATTCTTACACAAGTTCAGAAATACGAGTGCGCCTTTATTTTACTTCCAGTCTCTGCAACTGGTGCCCTCGGAGAGAAAGCTCGCCTCCTCCTATGGTCGGGCTGGGTCCACAGAGAGTCGCAGATCCGGGTGCTCAGGGCATCAAGACTGCGCCACAGGAGAAGAGGGCAGGGAAGGAAGGTTCTAAAGCAGCCTCAGCCTTAATCCCGATACTCCTCTTCCTCCCACCATCTCTCCTGTCACTGAGCGGAAAATTCCCTCTCCCACCTTGTAAATAAAAGCCAAAACGACCCCCAACCCCACGCGCTCAGTTCTCCCCCGCAGACCATCAGCCTACCCAGCTCTACAATCAGCTGCATGGAATTCAAGTTCAGGTTCGGCTTTGAGGGGCTGCCACGGAGAAAGGGAAGAGCATTGGGCACACCCATCCACAGCGAAGGTGTTCAAGCCAAACATGTCACCCCCCACGTATCCCCTTCCCCCTCTCCAACCCAGGCAAATCCTACCCAACAGCCCAGGTGAACCCCACCTCTTCAGCGCAGTGGGGCCATGGAAAATTCTCCTTTTCCAGCCTCGAAATCTTAGATTACGGGGCTTGAAGCCTCCCCTCTCTGCGCAAGGAACTGTTTCCCTTTCTTTACCTAGGCTCCGCTGGTGGACAGCGGATGCTCTGGCGCCGACAGCTATGGATTCCTCCTCCTGGTCTCCGCAGCCCCTATACAGGAAAAACAACGGGGGTCGACTCGACCGCTAAGCGACCCGAGGTTGCCAGGTGGAAACGCTTCGCAAAGCCGCTCAGTTTTGGGTAGCCCAGACGACGCAGCACGGTTTTCTAGGCAGTCGAAGCTGCTTTTATCCTCCGCCCTCTGAGACTAAAGAGCCTGATGAGCGGCCGAGACGGCCAATCAGCGGGGTCGGGGGGAGGGCACCCATCGCAGCCCAGGGGCCAGCAGAAACCAGAGGAGCCTGACGTGCAGCTGGCAGATGGGGCCTGGAGAGCAGCTCTGTCTGGAGGAGGGAACTGATTTGCAATTCACCATAAAATTTGCGACTGTTTCTCTTTCCCTCCATTCTTTCCTTCTCCCTTCCTCTCTCCTTTTCTCCTTTTTCTCTTTGGTTCAACTCAGTGTCTGGAGGCCCGATGCATTAATCATGAATTGGGACCAAAATCTGAAGTCAAACAGGGCAAGTTCCTCACCCTTGTATAGGAGGAAAGAGAGAGCCTTAGCACAAGCTGTGCAAATGGGTTTCCATGGACAACTCTTATTGTGGAGGGGGTAACGTGTCCGATTAACAGAGAAGAGATTTAGATCACCGTGACTTATCCAATACTCACTTAAGTAAAAGTGCAAAACTGGTTACATTAGGTTCTTTGGGAGAGCTAGTTAGACATTCAGATTCCTGGGCCCATCTCTAAGAAATTTTCTCTGAAGTGTAGAGAGATTAGTGAAGAAATAAATGAGCCTGTCTCCATTGTATCTGTGCATATCTATAGTGAAATGCAGCACCGAGGGGTTGTTCTTAGCTGGGGCCATAATCTTGCTGAAATTGTGTGCTAAGATTTTGGACTCTGTAGCAGGCTGAACAATGGCCACCTCAATACATTCAAGTTCTTGTCACTGCAACTTGTAAATGTCACCTTATAAAATGAAAGGGTCTTCATAGATGTGATTAAATAAAGGCTGTTGACATGAGGAAATGATTCATTCAGATGAGCTGTAAATCCAGTCCCTGGTTTCTAAGTTGAATTTTGTTCTCTGCAGTGGGACCTGATGGCATTACAAAGAGAGTAGGTCTCAGAAGTCTGACAACACGTGCAGACTGTGTGACCGTGCCTGGGTTGGTTTCCTCAGAACAAAGTCAGGGCCTCTTCATGTAGGGTTTGGAGCAGCATTTGCTAAACTGGCTTGAACAGGATACAGAGTCTGCCTTCTTCCTGTTGCAGGAGAAGGGTTTGAAGTGAGAAGCTTCCCAATTGTAAGAATTTTTGCTCTGGTAAAGAGGCCACATTTTATTTTCCAATTATAAAAATTAAATCTTAAAAGCCTTAAAATAAAGAGCCAGAGATTTCAGTTGAAAGAGTAACTGTGTTGGGCTGCCTTCCTCCTCTCTGCCAGGAGTTTTCCATCCCTTATCTTATGCAAGGATCTCAGCAATTCTATTGAGATAGGCACTGTTATCCCAGCAAAGGAGCTGAATGCACACTGGCATCTCACACTAGGATTTTGACTCTTCTGAACTCAGAGTCTGAATGGGGATATGCGTGGCCCCCACCTCGCCTGTGGTATTTGATATGCCAAGGGCAGCGCTGTGCATGGAAATATTCAATAGGAAAGTGAAGATATTTGTAAACAGACAAAACCTGATCACCAGCAGACCAAACTAGTGCAAATTAAGAATGTATGTCAGAAGGAAAATGATGTCAGAAGAACTAAATACAGGAAGGAATGAAGAGCACAGAAGGTGGGAGGACATGGGCAACGTAAGTGAACATTGATGGAAGAAAATCATACAAACATCCATGCTTGATTTACAAAAATAAAGTATTATACAATAAGAAAGACAGCAAGAGAGGTATAAACAGAATTCAACTTTTCTAAGGATGTTGTATCACATCAGAAGTGATTTAGGTATTTATACTTTGTAAAGGTAATTGTATTGTAGTAATTCATAGGACATAACTAATAATAGCAACAGGATATAAAATCTCAAACTACCAGAGAGGAAGAAAATTGAATAATTGACAAAAAACTCCATTTTATTTATTTATTTACTGAAGATTGAACCCAAGTTTTTATGCCTGCTAAGCACTCACTCTACCACTGAACTATGGTTCCCCAGCTCAATTTTTTGTATGTCAGGAAAGAAGAGGTTAAAGAGCCATAGCTGTGACAAAAGAACAAGATAAAATGATGGCCTTAAACCCAAATATAGCAGCAATTTTATTAAATGTTTTGAGAAAAATATTCAAATGAACAAACAAGTATGCATTTCTTACTTCCTGGCTATCTTGCTGCTGCTCTTCACACCTAAGGCAGAAAGACGGTGGCAAAGATGAAAAACTCTCAAGTTCATCAACTCTAGGCTCCAACTTGTTATGAAAAGTGGAAAGTACAGGCAGGGGTACAAGTGGACTTGGAAAATGATAAGACAGTGTGAAGTGAAATTGGTCATCTTCACCAACAACACTGCCCAGTTTTGAGGAAATCTGAAATAGAGTATTATGCCATGTTGGCCAAAACTGATGCCCATCACTACAGTGACAGTGATATTGAACTGGGCACAGCATATAGAAAATACTACAGAGTATGCACACAGGCAAAAATCACCGATCCAGGCAATTCTGAGGCCTTTAGAAGCATGCTCGAACAGACTGGTGAAAAATAAACCACGCAGAATTTGTCATTAACAGAACCTGCCAGTGCTCATGAAGAAGGGGAA